AAACCCTGAAACACAAAAATGATGTTCAAATGGTTTTTAATGGAAAAACACTGGGAAAAGATTGCCCTATGCAACACATAAAAGGAAGTAAATGCTGCCGTCTTAGAAGTTTATCAAGAGTTTTAAGAACCTCATACTCATTCAGATGCTTACCAACAAAAATAACCACAAAACCCCCAAAATGTTAATGAGGATGTGTGCACTTTTGTTGGTGGTAATGTAAAATGGTACAAGGGATATATATAAAAAAAAAAAAAATAGTATGTCAGCTTCTCAAAATATTAAGAAAAAGAACTACCATATTCCAAGCTCAGGGTATATCCCCCCAAATTGAAAGCTTGGTTTCAAAGAGATATTTGCACACTCATGCTCATAGCATCACTACTCATAATAGCCAAGAAGTGGAAGCAACCCCCATGTCCATCAATGGCTGAATGCATAAACAGAATGTGGTACAAACATACAATGAAATACTACACAGCTTTAAAAAAGGCAGGAAATCCTGCACCTGCTACAAAATGGATGAATCTTGAGGACCTTATTATGCTAACTAAATAAGCCAGACACAAAAGAATGCAGTAGAATTCCACTTACATAAGGTATCTAAAGTATCCACATTAATAGATAAAGAGAGTATAATGGAGGTTAGCAGGGGCTGAGGTAAAGGGAAGTATGAGGGAATGCAAAGAGGAGTTGTTTAAGTGGTAGTGTTTCAGTTCTGCAAGATTAAAGATTCTAGATATCCGTTTCACAACAATGCAAATACACTTAACACTCTCGAACTATATACTTATTAATAAGGGTTAAGATGGCTCTATGACGTGTTTTATATCACAAAAGAGTGTCAGTTTTTAACTTCAATTTTTTTTTAAAGTTTTGGTAACATGAAATACGCTTATGACAACATTTGGTTGGGGAAAGGATGCCAAAAAGTACAGGTAATATACACACAGAATTTTTCCCCCAAACTTCTCAAAGATGTAGTCCCATAATGTTAACATTATTTGCCTCCTTGGTAAGACTTCTCTTATTCCTTTGCACTTCCTATTTTTTTTCCATTTTTTCATATAATAACCTGTATTAATTTTATAATAAAAAAATAAAGTAAGTTTCTCACTTAATAGTTTCGAAACAGCCTTGATAATGCCCCATGCTGGGCAGGATGATATTTTATCAAAGGAGGGACTACTGTTAAGAAAAAAACCAAGATTTAGAAACAGGCAAAATAGATTACTGGGTATCTTTTCAGTAGAATGCTATTTGTGGTCTAGCAGGTCCTCCAGGGATTATCTTTGACCTTTTTTTTTTTTTTTTTTCCCTTTTAAATAGGCCAGTGGTTCTCAAAATGCAGTTTGGGGAGGCCTGGAATGCCTCAGGCCCTGTCAGGGTGTTTATGAGTTCAAAACTATTTTCATAATAATATCAAGATGTTATTTGCCATTTCTCTCTCATTCTATCAACAAGTACACAGTGAAATTTTCCAAAACTTTCAATACCCATGATGAAGTCATTAGTCAGATGATAACCTAAAATAGGTTTCATTATTTTTTTAAATGAAAGAATAGTTTTAAAGTTTCTCAATTCTGATTCTAATCTAATTAATATATTACACACACAGATTTCTTTGGGGTCTTCAATACTTAATAGGATCAAAGCATCCTGAAACATAAAAGTTTGAGAACCCACTGGGCCAATTTCACAGCTCTGTAGGGGCAGGAAAGTTAATTTGTAGGTAACACGCAGCAATGTAATGGCCGTTATCTATAGAAAAGCAAGCAGATTTTGCCTGGTAGAGGTACAACTGATTTACATACATGTAGAAAGAAAAACATTAATTTTTATAGTCTTTTAGGATATTAACTAGTTTTGTATCTGCTACAAATTTATTTCAGCATTTCTGATTGTGGACAGGTAGATGGATCAAAGGATGTACAGATAGATATGTTATCTTTTTTTCAAATTATCTTTTGAACTAGTCCTAAAATCTTACTGGTTCCTGCACTAGTAAGTTAAAATAAAATCGTTGATGTGTTTATTTTATTATTTTGAGAATCTTGTTTTTTAACTCTGAAAATTATTCTTTAGCATCAACTATCCAGAAACAGATCAGTTTCTGCATACAGACCTTAATACTAATAAAAAACAGAGAACTCAATAATTAATAACCTTCTAAAACAGAAAGCACCAGGCCCAAATGGGTTAACTGGTGAATTCTACCAAACATTTAAGGAAAAAAATCAAACCAATTCTCTATAATCTTTCAGAGAATATAAGTAGAGGGAATATTTCCTAACACATTCTAGTAAGCCAGCATTATGCTCATAACAAAACCAGACAAATATATTACAAGAAAAAATAGGGCAGTTATCTCTGAAGAACACAGATGTAAGAATCCTCCAAAAAAAACTTAGCAAATTGAACCCAACAACATATAAGATGAATTATACACTACAGTCAAAAAATAACAACGCGCCTGGGTGAGTCAGTGGGTTAAGCCTCTGCCTTCCTCTCAGGTCATAATCTCAGGGTCCTGAGATCAAGGCCTGCATCAGGCTCTCTGCTCAGGGGGGAAACTGTTTCCCCCTCTCTCTGCCTGCCTCTCTGCCTACTTGTGACCAACCTCTCTCTCTCTGTCAAATAAATAAATAAAATCTTTAAAAACAAAACACACACACACACACACACACACACACCCACACACACACAAAACACCTCTCCGTAAATTAGAAATAAAGAACCTTCCCAACTCGATAAAGACTATCTACAAAAAACAAACAAACAAAAACCAGAAACAAAAAGCAGGTTGCAGGATACCAGAAACAAAAAGCAGGTTGCAGGATACAAGATTAATAATGAAAGTCAACTGCTTTCCAATATGCCAACAATGAAAAGAGTGAAACGTGACTTTACAAACAATACCAGCGACACGAGCCACCCCTCAAAATGAAATACTTAGGTAGAAGTCTGATGAAACATGTATAAGATCTATATGAAGAAAATACATTAACTTTAATGAGTGAAATCAAAGAACAAAATAAATGGAGAGAGACTCCATGTGCATGGGTAAGATGACTCAGTATTGTCAAGATCTCACTTCTCCCCAATTTATGACACCCATTTGTTTACATGCTCTCTACTGCTATTTTTCCTACAATAATGACAGAAATGAATAGCAGACAGGAACAACATGGCCTACGAAGCTGAAAATTTGTACTATCTGTCCCTTTATGGAAAATTTTCTGTATCCCCTATTCTAAGTAATTATGGTCTAATTAAGCTGTTACTTATCTCAACCCAATGCTATTTTTTCCTTCAAAACAAAATTTAAATTAGATAACCTCTTCTTCCTTTCAATGGCAGTCATATAAAATTGTTCTCCTAAAACAATGTAAGTGTTGTATTTAAAAAAAAAAAAAATATTTCAATTGTAAGAATTTTAAATAAATGTCATGTTCTTTGAGGACAAAGGATAGGTCTTTGGAGAGCCTACAGATAAATAATTAGCAAAGCCCTATTACAAAAAAGTAATTATTTTATGAACTTCACAATTTTTAAAATCTGGTTATTTCTGAAACTCAACACTGAATTATCTTTCTCCTTAGGAAATTTTTTTCCCTTTCATGGAAGCTAAAACCAATTTAACACAAATACAGGCCAAAAAAACTAAACAAATCTAAATATCACTTAATCTGTATATTGTATACTTCCTATAAGAATTTAACCTGTACTAATTCATGCACTCTAAGTATATAACACTTAAACTGCTCTCAGTAATAGGAGTCCAAAAAACCTAACATACTTGCTCCACTCCCAAATATTTTTCTAAATATCTATACAAACACGAATCTAGTAAATTATCTATATATTCCTTTCACTAAATAAGCTTTTCTACTGCTAGTGACCCGACAGGTTCAGGGCATCAATTATTTTCATCTTAACTAATTTATAGGAAATGGAGGAAACAGAAAGAGATGTTGTACCATGAGATCTAGACAGTGGGAAATTCTATAGGACAAATAACCCAGCTCTTTCCATAAGTATGTTGGAAAGAAAAATGTTGCATAGGATTTAGAGAAGCTTAAGGAATATATATATTTAAAAAAAAACAAAAAACAAAACCTGAAATGTATGAAACTTACTAGAATCTTGAATTAACAAGCTTTTTAAAAAGTGTACATTTGATAGCTGATGAGATGTTTGGTAATTTTAGAGCAATAATGTAAATTATTTTATGTATGAAAATGGTATTTTAGTTACATTATTAGAGTCCTGATATTTTTGGATATAAATACTAAAATATTTTGGGTTGAAATTATAAGATGTCTGGAATTTGCTTTAAAATAATCTCAGAGTTGGGACACCTGAGTGGCTCAGTTGAGTATCCAACTCTTGATTTCAGCTTGGGTCATGATCTCAAGTTCAGGTGACCATTGCGTATAGCTCCACGCTGGGCCTGGAGCCTGCTTGAGATTCTTAATCTCTCTCTCTTTTTCTCTATCTCTCCCCAAAATAAATAAATAATCCTAAAAAAAAAAAAAAAATCCCAGAGTTGATGTAAAGTAGTTGTGGGCAAAAATGAAAGAGTCACCATGAATTGATGAGCTGTGGATATATGTAAAATTCTCATATTAGCTCTATTAGTCATTCTATGTGGGTGTATGTGTGTAGGAAATTTTCAATAATAAAACATTCTTAAAATATCTTTGTTTTCACTCTACTTGAAACAAGAAAAGTAATAATGGAAAGCCATTAATCTGAGAGGGAGATATTTGAGGAAGACAGAAGGGGTCCAGAAGCATATTTGTGAGGTGTCATTTTTAGATTTTAGATGTTCATCTTAATAATCATGAACAGTAAATCGGAATTTCTGCTATCTGGTATGACAGGCAGAACTTTAAGAGACACTTCCGATTACCCTTTGAGAGTGGAACCTATGATTATGATGTATGGTTATGACATACATGGTTATGACACATTGTATGGTTAAAGGGAGATTATCCCAGGTGGGTCTGGCCTAATCAGGTGAGACCTTAAATTTAGACTTTTCTCTGGCTGATGGCAGAAAAGGAAGTCAAAGAGATACACTCCAGCTAGCCTGCAGGAAAGGAAACATCCATGTGTCAACTGCCAAGGTGGGCCACGTGACATGAAATGCGGGTGGCCTCTAAGAGCTAAAAACAGTCCCTGCTGACAGGTAGCAATCTTCAGTTCCTAGAGTCACAGAGAAATAAATTCTGCCAACAACTATGGAGCATGGAAGAATCCCTGAGCCCCAAATGAGAACTGCAGCCTTAGCTGACACGTGAATTTTAGCCTGCTGAGACCCTAGACAGAAAACCTAGCCACAGCATGCCCAGACTTCTGTCCTGGTGGGGTTTTAAAGCACTAAGTTTGTGGTAATCTGTTACATAGCAATAAAACTAATATGCCTGGATAAGCATCTGATACCCAAAGAGTACACCACAGTACCCCTAAAGCTCACCTTCTGCACATGAGTTTATGATCCCGCTGGCACTGAGTACCTAAACATTCAGCAATTTCACTTTTAATGCAGTGTTTCTCAAAGGATCGTGAATCCAAATTTGAGAAACCTTGAGCTACATAATCCCTTATAAATGAAATATTCCTTATCCAACACACACAGTTAGCTTTACAGGCAAGATTACATACTTGAGTGCTTTTTACAGTGTGAAGACTTCTACAGCAGAAAAAGCCTGCAAAATAATCATATGGAACAAGTTTAAAGCAAACTGTGACTAAGCCAAGTGTATCACCAAAACCTTTAGCTTTTCATCACAGTAGGTATAAAAGAGTACAGAGCCTTCTATCCTTTAACGCACTAGTCCACGATTAGGAGGTGTGAAGAAATAGAAGCCAGAGTCCATTTCTTTTTTTTTTTTTAATATATTTTTAATTTTTTTTTATAAACACGTAATGTATTATTAGCCCTAGGGGTACAGGTCTGTGAATCGCCAGGTTTACACACTTCACAGCACTCACCATAGCAGAGTCTATTTCTTTATAACAACATTTCCAAAGTCTCAGGTAGTCCATAGATACTAAGGAATTATTACAACTATCCTTTGTCCATTTTATATATGTTATTTAGGGGAAAAAACTGAGAGATACATGAAGAAAAGAAACAGGAAAGTATGTCATAGGTATTACCCTAAGGTGTAAAATTCTAAGATTGCACTTAGTAGGATTCTTTTTAGCCTTTTTTTTAAATTAACAGCTTTATTGAGATATAAAATTCATATGCCATATAATTCATCCAACTCAAATGTATAATGTAGTGGTTTTCTAGTATATTTACAAACTGTAACCATCACCATGACTTTTAGAACATTTTCAACACCCCCAAAAAGAAACCCTGTACTCTATCTTTTTAATTGTCATTCCTTCTTTAATACCATGTAATTTTTCTCTGGTACCAGAAAACAATGGTCACCTGAAACACAAAATCAACACTTAAGAACTGAGGGTAGATTTGATCTACGGGCATAACAAATACTGGAAAAACTGTGATTTGGGGTTGTAGAGAACTGCTTCTTATAACTGATGCTATGAACATTCCTTTGAAAACACAGACATGATCCAAATACACAAACATGAAACTACTTGCCAGTGAAAGCAAAAAATCTCTCATTGGAGAGACTCTTGCCCTATTGCACAATGTAATTTGCTTATATCAGAAGCTAAAGACAGAGGATGATCTGAGCTTTATTTAACCAAAACAAGTGTTCTGTATTCCAAAGGCAAAAATCTGGAATTTAAAATAGCACTCTTAAATGTTCACACCCGACATTAAAACATATTTGATAAGCCAAATGAATGAATGAATGAATGAATGAATGTTTTAAAATGTTTCCATGGCTTATGAGATGGTCTATAAAATGCCCACTATATTTCCCCCTGAAACTTAGTCACTCCCTTGCCTCTGCAATGCTTGATAGAAATCTGGATCTGAAATTCTAAGAAGAATCCAAGTAAAAGGAGCCACTTTATTCTATTTTCCACCTTTGGCAGTTATAACTCTGGGACTTCACAGTCTGGTCTCCACAGTGGCGCGTGGCATAAGGAAAGAAACTTGCAACAAACAAATCTACCCTCTGTTTATGAAGCCAGAAGAGTCTGATGAGAAACTCACTGAGTGAAACACAGCTGTGGATTTTTCTAGAATAGAAGCTAGTAAGAGCATTCACTACTACCACTCTTCCACCCACCTTACCTCAAAGGCACTCCTGGTGTTTGCCATTTGTAATGGGTGGTTTCTGTTTCCTTTTACTTCAAACAGTAGGTGAATGCGCAGATTGAATCTCCTAGGGAATCATCTTGAAAAGAAGAAGGTGATGTCTCCTGTTTTTCAGATCTTTTGCTCATCCACTTGTTTTCAGTCCTGGCTAAATATCATAATTACCTGGGGAGCTTTAAGAATCCTGGAGATTAGGTCCAAACCTGGACATCTGCTAAATCAGAATCCTGATACCTCTCCGTTTTATATCCACCACAGAGGATATTCTGACTCCCATCCAGGGTGCAGAACCAACAAACATCATTCAGTAAGAGGCATGGACCCCTTCAGAAATCCCACCTAACCTCTACGAAGGGACTTTGACTTCTGTTTTAACTGAAACTGTGTGCTTCCCGAGCATTATCTTTGCGTTAGTTGCTCAAGACCTGAGCTTGGGTTGGTTAATTAGAACTTCTTAACATTCCCCTTATGTACACTGAAAATATTACCAATGTTTTTCTGAGAGACAATTTTGAGTGTTGCCAAAGCCCAAGTTTTAGACTCAAGTTTTAAAGACATTCTTGGTAGAGGGAGAGGGAAGAAAAATGAAACATCATTTTGTTAATTTTTTTCGGAGCTCTTCCCACACTGCTGTGGGAAGAGATAATGTGAGATAAGCTGTCATTTTTAAAGGCTGAAGCCCCCTCCCCTTTTCTTTTCTTTTTTTTTTTAGATCTTTTTTTTTTGAAGATTTTATTTATTTATTGGACAGAGAGAGAGATCACAAGTAGGCAGAGAGGCAGGCAGAGAGAGAGGGAGAAGCAGGCTCCCTGCTGAGCAGAAAGCCCGATGCAGGGCTTGATCCCAGGACCCTGAAATCATGACCTGAGCCGAAGGCAGAGGCTTAACCCACTGAGCCACCCAGGCACCCCACCCCCACCTTTTCTAAGCATTTTGGCCTTTGGCAATAATTACAGAGCTAACTTTTCTTTCCCCAAAGCCTCATCTTCCTATCCACAGATAACATCACTGACCAATCAACACAGGCCATGGGCTTCAAAGTTGTTTACCCACTAGCTCTGGTGGGTTTGCCCTGACCCAGCATCAGTGTCTCACAGAATTCCCTGTTGTGACCAAGACTATGTCCTTAAAATGTGGCTGGCTCCCAGGCAGTGGTCATGGAAGAATGGAGAAATGACCTCACAGGGTCCAATCCACTGACCTTTACTTTGCTCTCACCAACTGCCCAAATAAATAAAAACAGCAGGGTAGCTCAGTTTCCCAGATGAATTCTAATTTATCCCTAAATATCCAAGCCTTATCCAATGTTTAAAGTTCTCAAGCTGTCCAAAATCTGTCAGCTGGTTCTCAACCAAGGCCAATTTTGCCCCCCTTGGGGACATTTGGCAATGTCTGGAGATGGTTTTGGTTGTTACAGCTGGGGGAAAGGTTGCTACTGGTATTTAGTGGGTAGAGGCCAAGAATGCTGATAACCATCCTACACTACACAGTATCGCCCCCTACAACGGAGAATTATCCTGTCCAGAACGCCAATAATGCTGAAGTGGAGGAACCCTGGGTTAGGTCATTTGCCAGTCCACTGGTTTGAAGAACTCTCATCACAATTTTAATTTACTTTAAAAAAAAGGGGTCACAAACTCAAATGCCTTCAAGGTCCAAGGAGATAAAGAATTATCACATAAAGTGGCTGTGAATGAGGCACTAGGGTATGAGGGGTGGGAGGGGGAGCTATACCAAATCAGAGTGAAAATGCTCACTAAAATTATTTTTTAAAATTATACTGTATTAGGGGCACCTGGGTGGCTCAGAGGGTTAAGCCTCTGCCTTCGGCTCGGGTCATGATCTCAGGGTCCTGGGATCGAGCCCCGCATCAGGCTCTCTGCTCAGCAGGGAGCCTGCTTCTCCCTCTCTCTCTCTGCCTGCCTCTCTGCCTACTTGTGATCTATCTCTGTCAAATAAATAAATAAAATATTTTAAAAAAAATAAAAAAATAAAAAATAAAATGATACTGTATTAGCCAAATAAAACATGACAGCACTGGTAGTCAAACTCTGGCTTAAAGAGTTTATCAATTTGACCAGAATTGGATGATCACCCCAAAACACTGTTTAGCCTCACCCCTTACATTCTATGGAACTTCCTGAACCCTGGGACTAGGGAACATAACTAGAAGCTGTTCAGTTAAGGACAAACTAGGGATCAGATTATAAGGGTTTAGCTTCAGTTTATCAGATACATAGTGCTAAGAGCAGGGGCCAACGTTGGAAACTCTGAGGGTGAAAAAATGGTGTTCTTCTATCCCTGGTCTCCATTCTAGGGACACCCAGCGGGTATGACATCAATATTATACAATGCCATACAAGTTCGGTCATTATTTTATGACACCATTCTCACAAAAGTTCAGAATTTTCACATTATTTCTCAGATGAGGAAACAGAGGCCGAAGAGATTTAAGTGAATTGCTAAGATTACCCACATCTGAACCTAAAACTAACTATTGTTTCTTTTTTCTCAATGCAATTACATCACAGCAAATAAAAGGTGAAAAGATTTCAAGGTGTCAAACATTCATAACTAAACTCTATCAACATAAAAAAGTTATACATAAATGTTAAATTTAAACCTACCCATCACCGTCCTCTTTTCCCATCAGAAAAACATTAACATGTTTGCCCCAAGTCCCTGTTTTAAGATCTCTTTTCCACATAACGGAAGAATTAAAAACAGGTTAAGTATCTCCAGCCCTCCCTTCGGATCAGGCTGTAGAGAGGAAAGCCAAGTCAGCAAATAGAACTCAAGAACAAGGAAGCCTGATCGGATCTGAATATCCCCGTGTGTATGCATGCTTTCTGTTGGAGGAATTCCTAGCCTGAGGAGACAGTATAAACAAATGCAATCCAGAGGGAAACAAGCGATAAGATAAGTGAGACCCAGTAACCCCCCTCTGTCCTCCCTGCCACCTACTTCCCCAACTTATCCCATCAGAAAAACAATCTAGCTTGGGAGGATTAAAATATAAGTAGCCCCCTCTCTGCTACCACATAGCTCCCAATTCTTAAGTAAGAGGTTAAGGGGGAAGACTCGCTCCTTTGTGAGGTCAGTGATTGCGGCTCCCCTCGCGTGAAACCTGGCGGAATGGGGACAACCTGCTCCTTTCCCCATGGGGAGGATGTGAGTGCAGACCTGACAAGGAGGCAATTCACTGCTCCTCCAGACTCAAATTACAATTCAAGGAGTGTAAGAGGAAAAGATGGAGTATGTTAGAAAGGTAGCTTCAGTCACAGCCTGAAAAGAAACTGGGTCAAACTAAAAATAGTATGTGTATGTATATATATATATATATTTTTTTTTCTTTTTTGTTTAAAACCAATCCCTTAGCAGAAAATGTCATAGGCAAGGCAGTTTCTCACCACAGTTCCTGGAACTTCTGTAGCTGGAAGTGTTACCTACACACAGACTGTCAAGCCCTAAATGGGTCATAGAGGTTTTCTAGTCCAATGCAATCTCCATTCTTGATTTTTTTAAAGATTTTATTTATTTATTTGACAGAGATCACAAGTAGGCAGAGAGGCAGGCAGAGAGAGAGGAAGGGAAGCAGGCTCTCCACTCAGTAGAGAGCTGGATGCGGGGCTCAATCCCAGGACCCTGGGACTACGACCTGAGCCGAAGGCAGAGGCCTTAACCCACTGAGCCACCCAGGCGCCCCCCATTCTTGATTTTTAAAATGTAAAAATATAACAGGCCTTTCATTTAATGTTCTGAGAACACGATGCAGTCTCAGCCATCACCTTCAATTCTAGCCCAATTCATTCCACACTGTCTCTGACTTTTTGCCAAATGACCAGGAAGCCCTGAGTAATTGTGGGGGTGGGGAGAGGTGTCAGGGGAAGCTCTCATGCGAACAAGGTTGCCACACCTTGTTTGCCACAGAATAGGAAATGAACAGAAATGCTATTGTTGTTTCTTTTGCCATCGTCCTAAGTCAAATAACCACTAATATGGGGTGCATTTAAAAAAATAAATCCTGTCACTTACCTTGGATGAAACCATATGACATTTTCTGTATCTACAATTTCACCAATTTTCGAGAGTAGGGAATGGTTTAATTTTTCTGCTTCATTTCCTTCAACTTTTAGAATATTTTTTGTAATAAATTCTCAGGATTTAGAAGGGCCCTTAGTCTAATTCTCTTGTCACAGAAAAGAAGATGTGGTATCTATACACCATGGAATATTACTCAGCCATCAAAAAGAATGAAATCTTGCCAGATGCAACAACATGGATAGAACCAGAGGTTATTATGCTAAGCAAAATAAGTCAAAAAAAGACAAATATCACATGATTTCACTTATATGTGGAATTTAAGAAAACAGATGAATATACAGGAAGGAAAGGAAAAATAAACTAAAAACAGAGAAGGCAAACCATAAGAGACTCTTAACTACAGATAATAAACTGAGGGTTGCCTGAGGGAGGTAGGTGGGGAAATGGGCTAAATGGGTGATAGGTATTAGAGAGGGCACTTGTTGGGATGAGTACTGGGTGTAATGACGAATCACTAAATTCTACTCCTAAAACCAATTCGACACCATATGTTAACTAACTTTAAATTTTTTTTGAAAAGGAAAAAAAAAGAACTAAAGATTCTAACTTAACTCATGTCCTGACATTTCACTGCTCAGTCTTACCAAATCTCTGTGAAACAAAAACAAATTTAGACATATATGAACAATCTTACTGATGTGGTGAATGATTTTGATCACCATCCTTCCCTCTTCTTCTAGGATGCAAGTCTGCAGAAGTTTTATGAAGAATAGCAAAGCCAAGAAATGGCACCAAAACATCCACGAATGATTTGTCACATCCCCAAGAAACAGAAAAGACCAAGGCTAGGGGACTTTGGCAAAGTTTTAGGAAGCTACTCTTAGTTCTAACCCACTCTTCACAGGACACACCCATCAGAAGCATATAGTTCCTCGGCAAATTGCTGGCAAAGCCTTGCCTCTAACGTATGGGGTCTGAAAAACCTAAGATCTCCATCAGTTCATCTGATAATATGGCACCATCTTTTGCCATTGTGGTGACAGCTATGCATTAACATATTCATAGTGCACTGTCTAGTCTCCTATGTTGCCAGGAGCATGATGAATTTTTTAAAAAGGGGAGGGGGTGCCTGCAGGGGAGGGAGTAGAGCATGCAACTTTTTCTTTTTTATATAGATTTTATTTATTTTTTGACAGACAGAGATCACAAGTAGGCAGAGAGAGAGGGGGGAAGCAGGTTCCCTGCTGAGCAGAGAATCCGATGCAGGACTCGATCCCAGGACCCTGGGATCGAGACCTGAGCGGAAGGCAGAGGTTAACCCACTGAGCCACCCAGGTGCCCCCTTTTCCTTTTTTTAAAGATTTATTTATTTGAGAGAGAGAGAAAGACAGCAAGTGCAAGCGGTGGGGAGCAGAGAGACAGACTCTGACACAGGGCTCTCCACAGGGTGATCTCAGGATCCTGAGATAATGACCTGAGCCAAAAATTAAGAGTCCAACACTTAATTGACTGAGCAACTCAGGTGCCCCTGAGTATGGGACTCTTAATCTCAGGTTTGCAAGTTCAAGTCCCACGTTAGGTACAGAGACTACTTTAAAAAAAAAAAAATTAAATTAAATTTTTAAAAATTTAAAAAAAAAAAAAAAGGTTGACTAAAATTACAGTACAGTTTGTAGCTCCAAAACAAGGCAAAACTAACCCATGGCCTTGATCTGGTTTGTACATCACTAACAAACTGAGCTTAGCCAAAAAGCAGAATATAAGAACCCATTTCAAAAAACAAAAGATGGGCATCTCTATTGCCCAGACAATGACCAAAGCTGGGATCTGGGCTATCTACTCTTGGAAACCTGAATTCAGAAAGCCCACCAGATGCACAATGTTTGCCAATAGCACAGAATATTTTTTTTCCCCCAGAAATGAAAAGGACAAAGACCAATTTAATAGTTGATCCTAATTATGTACCTTCCAGAATACAAGGTATCTTCAATTCTGCTCTTGGTGCAATTTATAGAACAGAATGAACCCAGGTTATTATTAAATTGATTGACATTCTTAGGAAGTGTAACAAGATGAATTGGGCGGGGGGGACAAAAAGCTTCTGAAATCAATGTCCATTGAATGTTTGAGTAGCCTAATGGCTTATAAGCCTTTTGTTTTCATTTTCTTTTCCTGGCAATATATTGTTAGGGCATAACTTTCCTATTATTTCCCTAAATGACGCGGTTTGAGTTTTACTCAACTGTCTTCGTTAAATATTGTCAAAGTGGGACTATATCCAGTTTTAAGCCAAAAGGAAAAGATCTATTTTAAGTCAGGAAATCGTACCAACTACATTGGAAACTGAACCTGCTTCCCTCTGTTTCCATATTGAATTCACAATAGCGGCTATGGTTTAGAAGAACTGCAATCGTGTATTTGACACCAAATTTGCTCCACTGTAAAAATAAATAGAAGGCTCCCTTCTGAGGTGGGAAATAAAAAAGCTTATTTTAATATCTAAGGATAACCCAATATTAGATTACATGTTTGACTACTACTCAAGTTTTCACTATTTCCCTTTCAAAAGAGCTTTCACAATTTATGTTAAAAGACAACAAGGAGGTGGGAAGCTCAGAAGTTATGGGAGTTTTAACTCACCAGGCAGGCTTCTGTGGCTCTGCTCTGGGTGAGAAGGGTTTTTTCAGATAAGAGATTCAACCTATTGAAAAGTTATCTCAGTTAACAAATACAGTCTAATGCTGGACAGGCTCCAAATGGATTTAGAGATGGCATATAAGAGCATTTCTTTTTTCAAATAATTTGCCTATCACCCACAGAGCCAAAAGGAGGAAGTTCAGAAGTGTTATCATCCAAATACACAAATGCAACATTTTTTAATCTCATGCAACATTTGCTGCTCCAGAAAGTCAGAGTTTAAGGAACCATTAACTGTAGAAACATTTTTACTCTCAATTAGGCCAGCATTTATTGACCCAGCACTGTTTCAGAATTAAGAGATACAAAGGAAGTTGTTATTCCCCCTAACTGATGGAGAGAAAAGAATTAACACATAGGAAAACCAGAGGCAAAGTAATCGTGTGGGGTGTATAGAACTAGGCTGTCTGGGTCCCTAACCTAGTCATTGACTCTAACAAGCCATTGACCAGTTGCATGACCTGAGCCAGGCAAGTTCCTTAATTTCTTCGTGCCTCAGTTTCTTCATTTGTAAAATGGTGATGATAGTATGTATCTCACAGAACTCTTGAGAAGAGTCAATGGTTAGCACATGTAAAATATTAGGAAGGACCCTGGCACAAGGTAAGCATCTCACATACCTTGACTATTAGCATCATGTTAGCTGTGTTAAGTTCTATGGTCAGGTAAAGGGCTCGAAGGAGGAAGGAGCAGAAGGGGTTGGTAAAAGCTGAAGCAGGGAAGGGTTCCTGGAATGTGGGGCACTCAAGATGGATCTGAGAGCACAACGAGAATTTAGAAACTCGGAGGAGCACCCATTGCAAATGAGGGGGGCTATTACTGCAGAAAGTCACAGATGGTGTAAAAACCAGGAGTGCTTAAACATCAACAAGGAAAATAAAGCTCACCAAAGCTGAGTATGTATTTGGTAACCTCAGATTAATTGCAGGGGGAGCAGGGGGAAGGACGCAAGGAGAGGCCTCCATAGACTTGCTGCAGTGCTCTTGGATTAATCAGTGTTTAACTAATTTTTAGACCTGTGTACTATGAATGCAAACTCACTTTGAAATATACTCAGTTCTCTTCTCCTGGAACAGTGGAAAGGATGCTAGAAAATCAAAAGGTAAACTTTTTCTTTTTCCTGCAAAAATAGCCTGCTACATGGAATGTAGGTCCCCAAAATCAACTTGCACCTCATCTGCATCTGTCCCTCTTTCAGTGGGGGTACTAAGTAGTGGCTTGGAGGACCTGGAGGGGCAGGGAGGCACTTCAGATCCATCCTTCAATTCCAATCTCTATCAGCTGCCCTCAGCCACTCCAATAAACACAATCTACAGAAAAGGACAGTACACTTGCTAAGCAAATGTAACCTCAAAGGAGGTATCCTCCATCCCGGTCTGCCCCACTGACCAGATGCTACCCCCAAGCCACACAGAAAAACTGCCCTCCTTACTGATTTCTTAAATAGTACCTGTGCAATTAGTTGCCTCTCAACTGAACTCTCGGGAAAATTACTAAGAACAGATTCTGTGAGTGTTTAGGATACGTACTCATTTGGAAGGTTTCCTCCACTGCCAAGTTAGAAATCATAATGCCAAAATAAGTGACCGTAGTCCACATCTCTTATTCAAAGAAGAAAAATCACAAAACAGAATAGAAAAATTTCATTTTGACTGTGCCCTCTCTAGTATTTAAACAAGTTTGCTAACCTAAATTGGCAAAGTTGCTTTGTTTCCTGCAGTAGAAGGACAGGCTTAACACTTGGAACTACCAGGAGCATGACATGAAGCCAGGGAGGGCCCCACAGAAGTTACAAGCTCTGTGATTATTTCCTGAACCAAACACCTAAGACACTCAGTGGTACCAAGCTTTGTTGGAAGAGCTTGTTTCCCCTGATCCAATAGCTGTAACTTTTTAAGTGATTTCACAGAAGACCTCAAGATTCTCAAGCCAAAGCCACTCTTTATAACATCCCCAAAATATTTACACAATGAAACACTTTCAATCTTAACCATGTTTTGTTTGTAAACACCTTATTTGTTCTGATGACCACAGTACCAACACGAAAAGCAGTCTTTTAAACAAAGTAGCTCCAATAAAACCACACACAGACTCACAGGCATTCTTAACGCCCAGAGCCTATCCACAGAGCAAGAAAGCCAGGATTCAAATTCCTTGGCACCTACTCACTGAGCTCCTGTAAGCACCACCCAAGGACACGACCCACTGCACCCTCGTTACTATCATGCCTCCCTACTAATTAATACTTCTAAAAACCCACAGAATCTGATTACTGGAAGGTAACAGAATGTTACAAATATTGGACAAATGTTTCCTACCCCCGTTTCTTCTCTCACATTAGCCAGCATGGGACAACTGATCCTGTTTTGGGGTAAACTCCACCCCAGGTGAGAGAGCCATTGTCCAGCTCTTCTACCCAAATGGTGCCTCAGGTACCAGAGGTGGCCTGGCAAAGGCCTCTAGGTATCTTTGCCTTGGTGTGTGTGTGTGTGTGTGTGTGTGTGTTTGTGTATGTGTGTCTGTCTGTCTTCTGTCATTCACCTCCTAGGAAAGTTATCTGGGTCAAGGATAACATAAGAGAAATCTAGAAATACAAAAATCTGCTTTGGGATAATAATTGTATCAAGAACTGTAACAAGAATTTTAAGGGGAAAAAAAAGAACTCTCTGAGCGAATGTATTCCAAAAGCAAATAATTACAAAATTCATCTATTTCAAACTCATGAAGGCCTTTTATACTTCGAGTTGTATGCTACATGGGAGTTTTCATTTATGCTAAGATGAAACTACTTCACAGAAAGCTACAGGAATATTACAATTGATGCCAGAACTATCCATGGAAAGAATCTTGAATCTCCACTCATGGTTCTACTATTGACTCAACAAACATTTACTAAATACCTACCAATGATCAAACACTAAGTCTAGAGAGACAGGGAAGGACAAGACAAAGACCCTGTCCTCAAAGACCTTAGGGGAATGGAAAAAAAGCCACACATTTGAACTGCTGTCAGAATTATAAGGACTCGAGAAATAAATAGATAACTGAAGGAGATTTCCAGTCAATGATAAGTTCTAGGACAAAAATAAAGAGTGAGTGACAATTTCTGATTCTGTTTCCTCATGAGGATATAACCACCTATTTAAAACAAGATGATGAATGTCAACCACCTGGCACTCAGCATCCCCAAGCATTTACCTGCACATGAAGGCACATGCATACACACTCACAGATACAGCCTTTCCCCTGCTTAACTGCAATATCTGTGATAATCTACCTTGGTGTGTAATAAAAGCAGAAAGTAAACAAACTGTGTAATTCAATTACACTTAAAACTGCATTCATCAAGAATCTATAAAAAGGCAAAACCTAAACAATTAATTCTAAGATACCCGGATAAACAGAAGTCCAGATACAGGGCTCATACTAGTAAATATTAAAAATACTATCGTAAATAGTAATATGGCTGCTTTGCCCACTTTGAAGGACTGCCATGAAGTGCCAGTCAAATCATACAAGTAAGGCTCAGAGATATTAACCCAAAGCCACAGTGTCAGAAGCTGAATTTAACCCATCCTATTATTTTGGAGAAAGACAATGACCAAGTCCTTCACAGAGTCACAAGATTTTATACCTAGAATCAACTTTGGGAATCCCCTTCTCTCCCTCCCCCATATTACTATTGACCCAGGTCCTCTCAGGTAAAGGGTTAACCCTAGGGTGGGGTAGCCAGCAATGACAGAGCTGGAGCAGGACCCAGGCCTCCTATATCCCTGCCCAGTCTGCTTCATTTTCAAGGAAATGCATCCTTTAAGCAGGAGGCAGGCTTTTAGATTTTATGAGAACCACAAGGACGATACTGACTTCCATAATTCAATTTCAGTCATTAATTGTCCCTATAAACTTCCAGAGAGCTGCACCTAGAGCAAACTGAGGCCCTTTACTGGTGGCCAGAGAGCTCTCTTCATGCAAAACGGAGGACACGCCCTCCTCGAGAAAGCTGCCTCTAACACTGTCATGTACATTATTAGTTAAATTATGCATCTAGCCTGAAAGGCGAAAAGATCATTCCATTGTAGTTTTCAGAGCTTGCCTCAGGAAAAAGGCTCCAAACTATTACTCCTGGAGAGGGGCGAGTCCAGGTACAGGCACATGAGGGTAAAAGGGGTCTTGAACTGTGTCCAGGCTACTTCTAAGAGAATGGCTAGAGAGCCCTGGTTTGTGAAACCGGTGAAGAGAGAGCAGCTGGGCCCGGAACGAGCATTTGACCACACCCACTGGCCACGCCCTCCCAGCTGCCCGCAGAGCCACATCGAATTGAAACAGCAGTGGGAGCAGTTAAGATTCCGAAGGCAGGAGTCGCCATGGCAACGGGATTCATCTTGCAGACAAACTCCGCTTGAATACACCAGGTCCTTCTCCAGTCTCAAGAAACTACCAACTGGAAGAGAGCAAAAACGGTCACGGGTTGTATTTGCTCTTGATGCTCTCCTGCTGGTGGAGATGCCGTGCGGGTCCGAGTTGGAGGATATAAAGCGTAGGTATCAATTCATAGGCCCACTCAAGTATTTTATGGGGAGGTACAGAACACCCCAAAGCCAGGCTATGAACAACTTGAGAAGAGCCATTCGCAGCGTTTGATGAATGAATGAGTATACGAAAGAATGAGGGTGCTAGGGAAAGGAAATCCAGAAGACTTCATCGAGTTCCCGGGACTCGAGTGCGTCTCAAGTAGAAGGGCAAGCCCATCACCAGCAGTTGGATTTTCGACACCAGCTGGTTCCTATTGCCAGCCCTCCTACCCCACAGCGAGCCTCATCGTTAGATGATTCAACACCCTGCACCGCCTTACCACCTCCCAGCCCAGGGCTCTGGGCAGATGCTTCGCCCCCGTTCAGGTGCTCTTTGTGGAGGAAGCAATCAGAGCAGGGGGAACCAAGATGCACCTTCCCCAGGCGGAGATGCAGGAGCGCTCTGCGACGCCTCCAACCCGCTGCACAGGCGGCGCAGCCTCCCCTCACTGCTGTCCGCTAACACCCCCATGCTCCTTCCGCAGCGCGGGTTTCCCTCCTCTCCTCTGAGACCTTTAGCTTCTAACTTTCTCCCAATTACAATCAACCCGTCCCTTTGGAATAAAGCTTGAAGTGAGGGCTGCAGGGATGTTTGGGCTTCTGCTCGGACGCGGGCCGGTGGGTAAACGAGTGCCTCCTTCCCTGTCGCCACCTCCGAGTCCACCATCCCTGCCTCGGAGCCTCCCGGGCCAGCAGCTCCCAACGGCGGCAGGGCCCGCAGCCCCTGGCCGAGGCCACAACCCCCCGGCGCCCCAACGCCGCAACCTCAGGAGCCCGCAGCAAGGCGGCGAGTGGTACCCTGCCTGCTCTTTTGGCATCCCAGCGCCTCAGAAAGAAAGGAGGGAGGGACCCCTGTCCTCGGGGGCGCCTTCCTCCGGGCTCGCCTAGCTTTTCGCCGCGCTTGCAGCCATTTTCCCAAACCCAGCTTGGCAGCCGGGAGCTGTCTCGGTCCCGTTCCCACCCAGACCCAACCTGAAGGACGGGTTTAATATTTACCTACTGGCCCTGGGGCTCCGGAGAGGCAGCGGGAGGGCGCGCCGCGAACCCAGCGCCGGGCCCGAAAAAGCGCGCCCACCCCCGCGCCACCGCGCGGTGCTACTTAATGAATGAGTGCGGCGGGCCAGGAGGCACGTCCCCCTTACCTGAGCAGCCCCTGCATGCTGGAAAGGCGGCTCAGCGCTCCGGGTACAATGGGATCCGGTTAAACAGTTTCCTTCACAGCCGCTCGTAGGTTACCAACTCGCAGGTGACATCACCCTCTCCTCGCCTGATAGGATACAATGTGGCGCCCACTGCGCATGGACTCCCCTGCCGGGCCCGCGCACCCCTGGGAGTTGTAGTCTGGGTCTCACAAGCACAGCCCGAAGAGCTACGCTCACTGGGGCTCGAAGAACTACACTTCCCGAAGCAGTCCTCGGCCGCTTCTTCCCCTCCCCTTGGCCCCGCCCCCGCCGGACCCGCCCCCTCCCCGCCCTCCAGCCTTGCAGTGTTCGCGGTGGTCGTTCCAGAAGCTGAGTTGCGGACAGCAGGGGCGAGGGAGGTGGGGGGAGGGCACCCTGCGGTCGTGCCCTTTGACTTGACCTCCACTCTGCCCAGTGCGGACTCTGAGGGCCACCAGGGGTCCGGCGCTGGTGCGCACGGGCCAGGGGGCTCTGATCAACCCGGCTCTTGGCCCCGGCTGGAAAGAGAAGATTAAGCCTTTCACGGCGGTCCTTGCGCGTAGAAACTAATTAATAAGACGCACTGGTTTCTGGGTTAAAAGCGGTCCTGGAATTCCCCCACGTCGCCGAGGATGAGGCGATGCCGGCTCCGAAGAAGAGAAATCCCCGTATGCCCCCCACTTAGTACAATTCACCTTTCTGTCCTCTTTCCTTCTCCAACATAGCGGAGTCCGGATGACTAACCAGAACGCAGGCAACAGCTTAGTTGGCTGAGCTGACAGAGTAACGGAGGCTGTCACTAATAAAAATGCGGTGCAACAGTCGCCGCAGCCCTCCGTCAGGGAGCCTGCTGCCGCCGCAGAGATAGTACTATCGCGCAGCCATGCTTTTGTTCTTCCCAGCAGCCGACTTCCCACTCTGATGGCTCTCAATTCCCAGGAAGACGACGTCCTTGTCTGAAGTTTTAACAAACAACACGTATGTATACATGTACTTTTAAATCCACAACACTCTCCCCCCATTTTCCATACCTTCCTCGCAAATATTTTTTAAATCACCTAAACCAAACAACATCGTGCTGTTCAAGACTGCCGTGATCTTAATACAGCCAAATGTTTAATTCAAGGTAAGCAAAAGGGGTGTAGCAGAGTTCTGACCCCTTAGGAGATTTTATTTTCAATATGTAAAATTTTTCCGTGACATTTTTCATTATTCAATGATATCAACTATTATCAAAAATTAACGCGCTAAGAGCAAATCTCCAAGTGTCTTTTTAAGTGAATAAAAGAAACCAATGTATCTAGTTATTCCAGTTGTAAAGGCAAACTATAATGGCTCACACCCTTATTTCCACTAACAAAATCTCTAGAAGACTGCACATCTTGCAGGAAAAAAAAATTTCACAATTAAGCTTTCAAACAACTCCACCTAATTATTGGTAGAAAGGTTATCACTTTTTTTTTTCATTTCATTATGCAACACCAACTTGGATTCAAGAGAAAAAATATTCATGAAACTGGTTGAGGATCTCAGGGGAGAGAGAGAGATGCTTTGTTTTGCTGAGAGAGGAGTTTTAGTGCTGAATTCTGATTTTCTTTAAACAAGCCTACTCCTTACAGACGAGACACATTTTTCTCCACTGAAGGAAGATAACTTTGAATGTTCTGAGCTATTCTATCCATGTCAAATATTGTGTTAAATGGAACCTAGACAATGCAAATGTTCCCTTGGCCATCAGATCAAGAGTATAACCGGTGATATTCTAGTTAATGGTAGCCTTAATGTATTGCAGTTCATTGTGGAAAAATATTCAGAAAGAAACTTGACCTGAAATGATTCTAAAGGCTCTCCAGTTTTATAACTGTGTAAAGCTTTTAGATGGAAACATAATCAGTGAGCCTGAAATTTATTGAGTCAATAAATTGGATGTGGAGACTCTCTATAAGGCAGAGCTTATCCTTATAGATAAAAGTATATTATTAGGTACACTCTGAGGAGTAACTTTATGGGACAAATCACTTTACAGCAATTTCTCTTGGGTTTTCAACAATGAAGGAGAGGATGGAGCCTACCTGCAGAAAAGAATTCCATTCTCTATAGCAATTAATGTTATAGGGATGTGCCATGTTACACAGCTCCTTTCCATATGTAAAAGACATCATATATGGTCGACTCTAAGCACAAAAATGTGTGGATATGCATATGTGAGCGGTCCTTCCTATTCAATAGATATGTCAATAAAAGATACAGAAAGTAAGGTGTTGGATGTGGAAGCATTTTTCTGTAAGTGGTGATGGATTTGAACTGATCCGTGCACTGCTTCATTGGTAACCAAGGGAAACAAAGATGGCTCTTCAGCTCAGAAATGCAGTCTGTGGACCTGGGACCAGAGGAAGATTAACAACTTCTATCTAGACAGAAGGGAACTGTCTGTCTCTTCCTCTCTACGAGACACATGCACATACATTCACATACACTCATTGTGTGTTTGTATCTAAGTAGCCTCATGAGACATCAAAAACATCCCCTCTGTCTAGCTTAATTTATATGCTCAAAGGGTTTCTTTGCATTTTTTCCTTTTCTTTTTAAATGATTGCTGTTGTTTTAGAATGATCTTATGAAAGACACTGCCTTGCGGCGTAATCATTGCCAATTAATTAGGAAATTGTGGGACTACTGAGAGTAGATTTAATTGACCATCTACAGGTGGAGGAGGGGGAAGGTGTCTTAGGGTATTTTGCTGATCTTTTCAAAATAACCTCTCTCAGTCTGGTTACAAGGTTTTTACTCTACATGTTGGGTTTTAGATAAGGGAGGAAATGAGATATAAACAGTGAAAGAATTTTAAGTTTGTAGCTTTGCATGTGTTTTCACACAATAGCTTGGTGTTTTGCAACAATTGACATTATGTGCTGAGCCCTGGTTTGGGATCATGCCATTTTGCCACTTATGAGCAATGTCACTTTGCTTATTCTGTGCTGCTTACTCCTTCTGAGCCTCGATTTCCTACTTCACAAAAGGTTTATGAGCATTAAATTAGATGAGACATATAAAAACACTTCTGCCATTGAAAATTCAAATGCTGGTTCTTGTTATCATTTGCCATTTCCCCCTGAAGATTATCTCAAATGTCAACTATAATTATGAAACAATAAAAAGCTACTTAAATTTTTGAAAATTTGTTCTTAATAAGAAACTATTAGAAATTATGTAGCGAGCACATATTATCTCACTAACCTATAAGTAGGCAAAATGTACTTTGAAAAAAAAAAAAAAAACCCACAAGAAATCCAAATTGAAGAGTGCTTGTGCTTAGCTTGTTTTCAGATCCGATGGCCCCAAGCTGTTCTATCACAGGCCATCTTCCCCAGGCTCCTGAACAGAGAGAGGCACCACTGAGAGGTTGGAAGCAAGAGCAAGCCTGAGACCTAGGTATTTCTCCACTAAAACTTCCACAGAGTAGCACTGGCTGATGTTTCTGGCAAGGGCAGCAGCATTCCCCATGTTGGGCTGGCCCACTGTGGTTCCAGCTTTCTCCAGTTCACCCCACCCTCTGTTAATGCCACCTTCTCTCTCCTTGTCCTTCCAGCCTAGGGGTGGGTAGAGTTAGCTTCCTGCTGTTGCTAATCTCTCATTGCATGTTTGACTTCTCAGATTTTCTGTCACCCCCATGACCAATTCCCTGTATTGTATTATGTCTGTCTTAAATACTTAGAATGGTTTTTGGTTTTCTGGTGAAACCCATAACTGATATACTTGTGTCTTAATAGTTCAAGTTCTTAATTCTTGTATCTAAAGTTGTGTCTAAGTTCTTGTCCCTAAAGACACAAGTTCTTGTGGCTAATACTTGTGTCTAAAGTTCAAGTTCTTTAAGGGGCAGGCAACAGAAACATTTCCATGGCGAGTTAATGGAAAATAACTTGAAAGTGATAGGATTAAGTGAGAGGTTTAAGTAACCAAGACTCCACCTACCAGCTTAGAGAACTGAAAGGGTGATAGTTTTTGGAACTTCTCTCCAGAGTGCAGCTCTAGCAGTCCTCAGTCTCCACATCCTTTTGTTCCAAGTCACAAATTCCTGAGAGAAGCTAGTAGCCCTATCTCAGAGTGACTGTCCCTGAGTTAATATCTACAGCAGTGGTTCCTAAAGTGTGAGGTCCCAGACCGGCAGCATCAGTATCACCTGAGAACTTGCTATAAATGCAAAAGCTGGAGCCCCACCCACAGACCTACTGGAAAAGAAACTGCAGGGATGGGTCCCACAATCTATGTTTTAAGAAGTCCTCCCACTGTTTCGGACCCACATGAAAGTTTTCGAACCACTCCTCTGTAGAAAAGATTACGGGGTCATGTGGCTTAGATATGGTCACTCAGGACCTATCCCTATGTGTCTGGGAGTCTTCCCAGAGAGGAAAAAGTGTTATGAACTTGGCAGCCAGCCCAAAAGGTGTGGAGTAAAGCTGGTAAACCTGTCAAGGTCTTCACGGTAAAATTTGGTTCTTCCTGAGAGAGAGGACTTTGGAGTATTCCGAGCCAACGAATCAATTCAGTCACAGCAAAGTCACTTGGAAAAGATGCACATGTTTAATTGAGAACTCAGAAAAGCTGAAAAACCAGCATGGGGCAGTACGAGGGAGATGCAATCTTACAGAAATCTAAGAACAGGAACATTAATAAGATCAGACCACAGTAAGAGGGGACATGAAAATAGCTCCAGCCACTCAAAACTCTTCAGACCAGTCTCATCTGAAGAGCTCCTGGGAATTCAGAAACAGAAACTCTCCTTTGAGGGGCGCCTGGCTAGCTCAGTTAAGAGAACATGTGACTCTTGATATCCAGGTCATGAGTTCCAGCCCCACGTTGGGAATAGAGATTATTTTTAAAAAATCAAAACTTTAGGGGCACCTGAGTGGTTCAGTCGATTAAGCATCTGCCTTCAGGGCAGGGTTCTGGGATCAGGCCCCACATCGGACTCCCCAGTCGGTAGGGAAACTGGTTCTCCCTCTCCCTCTGCCTGCTGCTCCCCATGCTTGTGTGCTCTCTCTCTCTCTCTCTCATTCTGACAAATAAATAAAATTTTTTAAAAATAAAAAAATTTAAAAATATAAATTTT